CTTTCCGCCGCACAGTAGGCAATATGTCCAAACCAAGTTGCAAAAAATAACATCCACAGTTAGCATTTATGGCAATAACATTAGATTGGAAACATATTAGTTAAGAGGAAACCACATAAAACTAACAAAAAAACATATTCGGAGTCTCTTTCGAGGGGCTGTAAAACGAACTTTGCGCAAAACCTACATTTTCAGTTAATTTGTGTCCAATAACTGCCTTTTTTCTACAATTTTTTAAATAGTAGGCGTTGCATTCAAGTGACACAGTATTATAACAATTGAATCGGACGACCTTAGCTTGCTGTCAATAATTATTGTGAAATTGTCATAACGTGTTTTACGTAGATTCCCGGTTGCGATAAATTTAATGTCAAGGTAAGTAAAAAAGTATCTTTTATTTTGATTTTTTGGATAAAAACTAGGTAAAGGTCAAAGTAGAACATAATCATTTAAGGTTTTTTTGATAGTGGCATATATTCTGTCTAAGAAAAGTTGAGTCAAAAAAATCGCAACATTAAATTTATTAGAAGCGTAAGCCTCCATGCGTATGTGTATAGTAAGATCCTTTATGAGGATACTTCTCATAAATTAATTGTTATAGTAGCTAGAGAAGAACTTGAAATATAAAGTTACGTATTTTTTCTCAAGATTTCCGAAGAGGTATGTCATAAATGTCAAATGACATTTTTTGACAAATTGGCAAATTTTGACAGTACCAAATTTTTTAAATTAAATGAAATGGATTTTTCTTTCAGATTTAAAAATGTGCACTTCGTGACCGTTGCATCCAGCTGTTATAAAACAAAATATCAGTAAATAGTAAATAGTAAAATAAAATTTAGATATTTTTAATAGGTATAAATTCTGTTATTTTCTAAATCGTCATTGTTTAATTCTCAGAATATGGTTACTTATTTAAAATATAATAATAAAATATTGTTCACATATTGTCTGGTATTATTAAAGACCCAACTTATTGAAATGACAAACAATCTTGAATAGATTGGATTAGTATACTGAGGGTTTTCTATTATACATTGACACCCCCTTTATCTTTTTTATTTGACGTTTCCGAAAACTGTCTCAAATGAAAGTGGTTTTGAATAAATTTGCCAAAAAAGTCTATTTTGCATGGTTCAACTATCTTATTTCGTTTTAGGTATAGAAGAATATATAAACAAGGGTATAGGCTATGCTACATAAAAGTAGTTAGGATTTTTAGGAGAAAATAAAAATCAAATATGAAATTGGGTACTAATTTGAAATAAGAAAGTTGGGCCACGCACAGGATTTATAAGGCACCCTGTATATGCAAAGAAGACTGTTTTGAAAAATGTATTCGAGACCATTAAACTTTTATTCAAGACACTTTTTTCGAAAACGTCGAATAAAAAAGATACAGAGGTTGTCAATATATAAAACAAACACTGTATATGCCGGAGGAGTAATAATTGCTCAATATTTGTCTCTTTCATCTTGGCTCTGCCAAAAATCGTAAAATTTAGAGAAATATAAAATACTCTTACCGCCTTTTGGTAGCTGTATTAGTCAATAGATGCTTTTCCCATTTTATGAATCCCCCCCACCACCCCTAACCACTCTCAAGTCAGCCAAAACTAACTGGGTTCACGGGCTACTAGCATAGCATGATTTTACCAAATTTGAATGAAATCGTACAAAAAAAGAATTTTTGCAACATACTTCTGGATTTTTGCCCACTGTGAATCGGTTTGCGCAGATATTCCATGAACGCCATCCTGACAAACACCTTTATGGCAAAATTGTTCGCGATTTAGTAGCAAAATTTCACGAAACTGGTTCCGTTATGAATAAAAAGAGGCAGAGGGAAAATCCTGTAGTAAATGAAGCTATGGAGGTATTCGTATTGGGCCAAGATTTTTCACTTAAATTTTAGACAATACATATACAAATATTTGTTTACATCTATATTATTAGGTACTTTGTCTACAATTACTATACAAACATATCCTAATTAAATGCAGTTATTAGCTAGTTTTCTGAATGAAAGCTCAAAGCTGTAAAGTTCTATTTGGTTAACATTAGTCTTTTGTAAGATTCTACTAATTACCTGTATTATCTATGACTCTACTCACATATGTCCGTAAAATGATACTAAACGCAGCTGCAACACGCTGAAAAATCTAAGTTTTCAATAAAAGCCGCAAAATTTAAGCAACAATATCAATTTTTACTTCTTTGAGGCAGTCTCTTTCCTGTTCAAAATAATTGAGTAGAGACGAGAAAAGTTGCTGATTCCGACTGTTAGTGGTTTTGGTATTTTACTGCCATGCCAATCACAGTCAAACGCAGATTTAATTTGCGATTTGTCAAAGAAAACTTGAAATAAAATTGAGAATGACAAAGAAATGTCAGATAGATAAAATTAATAAAATCGAAAATGACAAATATCAGCAGTGGGATTCTGTAAGCTCAGTAGCAAGAAATTTCTTGCCTAGCCTATTCTATTTTTATACGATTGATGAGTCACTAGACAAGAAATATGTTTACTGATTATGACTACCAACATAAAGTCTTTTTTTATTGCGCAGTTCCTTTACTTGATGCGACAACGTGCTACCTTTTTTTACCAGGATATAATGAGAGCTAGCAACGTTTTCCAGAAAGTATTTTAAGACGTCTGGCTCTTTGATATATATTTTACGATGCTCTCTGGAACAGCATGCCCGTCTGTCTGCCGATACCCGTTGCGTTCATTACTGCGCATCGGAAGAAGATCCTATATATTTTTTTAATTTAGTCCTATAAATTAAATTGAATATAAATCAAATATGTCTCCATAGCGCAGTGCGTAGAGTTTCCGACCACGAACCGATGATTCAGAGTTCGAATCCCCGGGTCAGGGCCAAAGACTTTTTTATTTTATTTTCGTTTATATTCTGATAGTAAAGTATTAAATAATTCTGGTGATTGAAAAAAAACAAATATTTAATACTTTACTATCAGAATATAAACGAAAATAAAATAAAAAAGTCTTTGCTCTGACCCGGATTCGAACTCTGAATCATCGGTTCGTGGTCGGAAACTCTACGCAATGAGCTGCGGTGACATGTTCGATTTATATTCAATACTAGGATTTAAAGGACTAATAAAAATATAGGATCTTCTTTCAATGCGCAGTAGGGAACGCAACGTTTACCGGCAGCTAGACGGGCCACATGCTGTTCTAGAGAGCATAGTGAAAGATATATCAAAGAACCAGACAAGCCAACAAAGGCTCTCATGATATGCAGAAGACTGGCGGGAAATAGGTGGGGCTGCGCCCCAAGAATTTTGCGCTGGATGTATACCATGATAGTAAGACCCATGATTACATATGGAGCAGTTGCTTGGTATACAAAACTAGAGCAACGTATAGCAAGGCAAAACCTGTGCAAAGTACAGAGACTGGCATGTATCTGTATCACAGGTGCCATGAGAACATGTCCAACAGCAGCAATGGAGGTCATTTTAGACCTAACACCACTGCACATTGTCGTCGGTAGTTATGCCAATGCGATAATGATTAGAATGGTCATAGACGGAAATAGTACTGGGAGAATTTTTAGGTCAGGGGCTTGGAAAACCCTCAAAAAGAAAATTCCACTTCTCCAACTCCCAGTGGATGACATACCAAGAATTTACAACTTTGAGAAACACCTCACTGTAGTATTGAGTAATAAAAAGGATTGGGAAGGAAGAAACGCTTACTCAGCATATAAAAGACCATAACATAACGTGGTATACTGATGCTTCCAAAACCAAAGCAGGGACAGGGATAGGAGTATTTGGGCCGAAAACCAAATACTCCGAATCAATGGGCACCTACCCCAGTATCCTTCAGGCAGAAATTTGCGCTATCGAAAGATGTGTACAATTTATCTTAGATAGAAACTATCGAAAACAGGAAATTGCCATCCAATTCGATAGTCATGCAGCACTAAACGCGATCAACTCAGTAACCATCAATTCAAAGTTGGTCAAAGAATGCCTAGAGAAGCTCAACAAGTTGGGCAAAGAAAATAAAGTCCTCCTACTCTGGGTGCCTGCTCACCAAGGGATAGAAGGCAATGAAAAAGCAAATGATCTAGCTAGGAAAGGAGTGAACACTCCACTAACTGGAACAGAAGCGTTCTGTTTTCCAAGCGGAAACCAGCTGAAAGCGGAACTGAAGAATCTGGAAGACTCCAACCGCAACTTGGAATGGGTGTCCTCCAACGGTCTAAGACACTCGAAAAAGTTCCTTAGAACTTATGACCGAGAAAAATCAAAGGTTTTCCTTGATTTAAGTAAAACAATCTTCGGATTGTCACGGGGTTCCCTAACAGGACACTGTCTCCTCAACGAACACCTCAGTAGGCTGAAGCTGAGAAACAACGGCGAATGCAGATTCTGTGGGGGAATATGGGGAAACACCAGAACACCTCATCACTGAGTGCGCCGAGACGACGACCATTCGTGCCATGAACTTTGGTACGGCTGATGTCAAGGATGGAGAGCTGGCCTCTATGGAGCCGTCTCAGATACTGGCTTTTGTTAAAGCCTTCAGACTGTATGATGAGTTATAACTGGTTATAGCTCAAGAAAGGGGAACACACAATAGATCTTTAAGGTCGCGGTGACTAACTCCCCTCCTAAACATTCTACATTCTACAAGAGCCAGACGTCTTAAAATACGTCGTGTTTTTCCGACGTTGCTAGCTCTCGTATTATAAGATTATAGGAAAAAGTGCGCTCTACTAAGTGTCAAACGAATTTTTATTTATAACGTTTTTGATGACGTGCACGCGAACTTCTATTGATTTTTCTATACTTGAAACTTTTATTAGATAAATCACGATGACGCAACGTTCAACGATCGTGCTACGAACTATACCTGCACCAGTATAAGAGTTGTAAGCGTTGAGGAATCAGTAAGATAGTTAAAAATCGGACCAACAGGTTTTAAGAGTCATCTCGGGCACATAAATCAAACTTCAATATATAAAAATCATTTTATTGTAACAACCATTTTTTTTAAGTACTAGATTATTTTTGAATTAAACTTCAAATTTAACGAAACTTCACACTAACATACAATGTCTAAACGTCTTATTGTGTTGTGTAAATGGCAAGGAAAAAGAAAAGGCATCTAGTGAGAGAGATATCTCTGAACTATCGTTGGTTTTACCTACTTGGGTTTTCTGTTCTTATTGTGATACCGGTTGTCTGCGTTTTGGTTCATGTTTGCCGGCTTGTTTTGGTTCAACGGAGGTGTTTGTCTATAGACGTTCGGCTGTCCTCTACCTACTAAGCGTGGATCTGCTAAACAAAAAAATGCAACTTAGAATAAAGCCACTGAAGGAGAAAATGCAAAACTTAAAGGAGACCAAACTATATTTTATTTATTTACATTTTATCCCGATCACAAAAAAAATCGATACTGACAGATTTCTTCAGATTGCGTTAGATCTACGGCTTGTGTTTGAAAAGGAAGTATGCTGTTACTGTTATTAATGTTTATTGGGTGTCTACAAAAACGGCGTACTAAATATACATATACAGGGTCCGGCAATAGTGCGTCGGGCATCTGTAGCTCCTAAAATAAAAAACTTTGGAATTTTGTTTAAGTGCAAACCTAAAGTATGTACTAGGATGTATTTCAGGAAAATATTTTAACTTCTATAGGGTGGCTCAAAAAAGTGTGAGTGGATCGGGATGATTTTTTTTTAAATTGAACACCCTGTATATTATTGCATTTTTGGCTTCCTATCAGATCACTTTACATAATCCTAAGACATGAGTAAATATATTTCGATAATTTCGGAGATATTAATAAATAAATAAAAATTATAGATTTTTCAGCCTTTTTTAAAAAAATTATTAATAATACAAGAACTGTCCTGAAATCAAATCTATATTAGATATTTACTTTAGATGGTCTGTACTTAGTTTGCTATAAATATGGAAATCGTAAATCATACAGGATGTTCAAAATTCTAAGCCAAACTTTCTAAAATATAAAATAATTTTTCACCCTGTATATTATTTTTTCAATAGATGGAGAATTAAAAAATGAACATTTTTTGCATTTAAAGTATTTCAAAATGTTTAACGGTTTCGCCGATATTCCCGGTTTTGTATTTCATATGGCAATTTCCACAGTAAATTTTTATCAAAGCCACCCAATGATTTTTCTCTCGTATTTTACCACTGAAAGCTCCATATGAAATAATACCGCGTGTATCCCCAAGACTATTAAAATTTTGAAATACTTTAAATACAAAAAATGTTCATTTTTTAATTCTCCATCAAATAAAAAAATAATATACAGGGCGTTTCATTTAAAAAAACCAAGAAAAAATATTTTATATTATTGAAAGTTTGGCCTAAAATATTGAACATCCTGTATGATTTACGATTACCATATTTATAGCAAAGTAAGAATAGACCATCTAAAGTAAATATCTCATATAGTTTTTATTTCAAAACAGTTCTTGTATTTTTAATATTTTTTTTAAGAAGGGTTGAAAAATATATATTTTTGATTTATTTATTAATATCTCTGAAACTATCGAAATAGATTTACTCATATCTTAGGATTATGTAAAGTGATCTGAAATGAAGCCAAAAATTCAATAATATACAGGGTGTTCCATTTAAAAAAAATCATCCCGATCCACTCACACTTTTTTGAGCCACCCTATAGAAGTTAAAACATTTTCCGGAAATACATCCCCACATACAGGTCCGGTAATAGGATATCTAGGCATAGGAATTACATGCATTGGAATGAAACGCCTATAAAAAGTCTAAGCTTAAACAGAGATGAACAACAACTTCCCCGTTTCCACTTCCACTTCGACTGTCGAGTTAGACAAACTCCAATAAGATAACAAATTTTAGAAATTCCGCCGCCTCCCAACCATCCATGATACACATCCACCTGCCCTTTCTCGCCATTATTTTATTTCCCTTCCCGCGCCCCCGCAAGACGCCTTCACCTCAGTCCATCACAGAGTTGCCAGGTCTACCGGTTTCGTCTGTAAGCTACCCATCTACCGATTTAAACAAAAATCTAACGATATGTTCAACTGCGTCTTTAGTCTAATCTGACTTTATTATTGTTTATTAAATTTTATTTAGTAGTCATAGGTCATCGTTCTGTCTAGTTGCAGAGTGACAAATATATTCTTACAAATCCTTATTACTCTTTATTAGGCGCGGTATTGGCGATATGCCCGAAGAAGTTGATATTTTTTGAAAAGATTTTGATTCTACTAAAGTTAAACCCATATTTTTCCCAAAAAAAAATATAAACAAAAAACAAAATCTAAGTTAAGAAACAAACTGAATATGGATAAATATTTTAGTGCTTTTCCTGTCAAAAAATATATTAATATGAAAAAAGAGTTGAGAGTTGCTACAGCTTTCCCATTGAAATGAAATTAATTTTAGATATCACTGATCAAAATTTGTACAAAGGTAAAAAGTGACTGCTATCCCTACTTGTTATAGTTTTTATTAATATATTAATATTGTTTAATTCAATATATTTTTTTTAAATTTTAAATAATATACCTCTACCTCAACCCGGATTCATCCACTCCTGGATATAGGTCTCTCCTATCCTTTTCCACGACTCCCTGTTTTCTGCTATATTTAACCACCGTTTACCTGCCACTACCTTAAATGTCACGCAGGGACGTGCCCCTGTCCACGCGAGCCTTATAGCTTATCTCCCAAGACCATACTGGGGAAATCACTGTCCCATCCCATTCTCATATCCAAACATCAAAAATTTCTAATCAAAAGCGTGGCCTTGAAATTACCAAACCTCTAAACCACGAAATGTCGAACCCTAAAACAAAACTACCCCAGGCGAGTAGAAAGTATGATTCAGAATCTCGCACTGAATATAATATACCTACCTATTTCTAATTCTTGTTATATTTACTATATTTGTATTTTATTTGAGTGATCTAGTATTACGACACATAGGAATGCTAATTTTGGACTTAAATATTTTATTTTATTATATCTCGTATGGAATTATAATCTAAAAAACCCGGCAACCCTGTTCGGCTACTACTTTATAAAGTTTTTTCGGCCTATTCCTTTGTCGCCGTCGCGCCGCCGACCGATCTGTCGGTGTCTGGAAGGAAGATCGTACAGTATTGCCATTTCATAGAATTGCACTTGCTATTTTTAGAAATGATTTCAAAGTTCTGCATGTTACTTTTTGTTTTAGAAAGAAGTTGTTATGTGCCTAGAGAAAACATTCTTAAAATTGTTTTGTACTTTATTTAATATTTCATTAAGTAGGCAAGATAATGGGATTAGAAGATTCGGGATTTAGGATAAACCAACATAATTTTGATTTAACAGAATGGCAACACTGTCCTTCGTCTTTCTATTTTTCCATTCTATTCTATTAGTAGCCGGTAGCCCCCACACAAGCGTCTTAAAGACCCGCCCCCTCAAGCAGAAACTCTCTCGTCGTATCACTTCTATGATCACTTCCCCTATACAATGGTAGGGAAAGACACTTTATCCGTCTCTGTTGTACTGCAGTGTATTTTGCAGCCTTACCATCTTTTTTTATCGCATTGAAAAGCTCCTATTGCTAATGAAATTTTGCCACACGTGTATACTTTAGTTAATCAAAATTCTGAAGTTTTTTATTCTAGGAGCTACAGATGCCCGACGCACTATTGCCGGACCCTGTATGTAGGTATATCATTTTAGTTCAATGCTTGAACCTTTGAAATTATTTTTACTTTTCTAATTAAATTAAATTACAATTAATTAGGGAAGTAACTGTGACAATGCAGCGTCAGGAAGACTGTTTGGTTTCTATGGTTTTTACAATGTTTTTATTCAAATTATGTATAACAGTGTTGCTGCGCGGTGTTTGTGAACTTTCGTGTGCTCTGAAGTAATTTTGACTGTTTTTCTTTGCAAAAGAACTGTGTAGCATTTTTTATTCCCTTTAATAAAATTGAATTTAAAAATCTATTTTTATTTAAATTTCTTAGTATTGGCGCCATCTATTTGCTAGATGCCAAAGATACCAAACTACATTTATTACAGTTCACTTGTCTTGTTTATTAGCGCATCTATTCGCTAGATGTCAAACTTCATTTATTACATTTCACTTGTCTGAATCTCACTTCGCTGGGGATTGCGATTTTCTGTTCTAATGATTTCGATCATATGATATCACTTTTTTCTCTCTCTTTTTCTTTTTTCTGGGAATTTGGATCTGAAAAAGACGCGTGTTTCGGCGTCCGACAAATTTTCCAGTGAAAAGCACTCTGAATCCACTTTTCGATTTCGATTGCATGGGTATCCGATTTGGAAATTTGAAAACCTTGTAAAGTATGCAATCCAGAGTATAGATCGTATTTGTTTGGTTTCTTCTTGGAATGATCACCGTAAGTTTATCCGCCATTTTATATAGCCCTATCTAACTAAACTCTATTTCAGTTATTTCCGTTTTTTATTTCGTTTATTTGAGTATTTAATTACTGGTTTGGATCGGCATATGGTTTGAATATATTTATGTAAAGCTGATTTTCAGACCGTAAGTTGTTTTCTTTATTGAATATCTGTCCTGAGAACTATTTTTTATTTATAGAGTAACTACCACATGGTACTCAGTAACTACCACATGGTACTCAGTAACTACCACATGGTACTCAGTAACTACCATATGGTACTCAGTAATTACCACATGACCTTAAGACAATGTTCCTGACATTACAATCGTTCTTTTGGCTAATATCGAAGACTTCTCCTGCCATAGTCATCTGCATCCACTTCTGTTAGTCTGGAGAATACCTAACTACCTGTGTACATCATAAGAAACTATATACAGATAAGTCTTAAGTTTGATACACAAGGTACGCTTTTATTTTATAATTTTTGAGAGAACAGATTTAATAACCTGGTAAATTATCACTATTTATCCCACATTTTGTAGTCAAAATTATTTTTTTATTTAACGTTATAAGTTATAATTTGATTCGTACAGTACACTCTTACTTAGCTATGATATTTTATATGAAAATTATTAACACGTATTCATTTTAAAGGTTTTTGTACATGACATGTTTCGAAACATCATCGTATTGAGACATACATAAATTTCACCTGTTTTTATTAAGTAGCTTACTTAGTTCAAAGAATACAGTTACTAAATTCAAATCTATTTAAAATAACTTGCGGTTTTATTGGGATCACTGTGACTAATTGATGATACTTGTGTTCGTTTTCAATAAATGTTTAATGTAGGATAGTTATTTCTGACTTTTATTCCTGATAAACATAATAGACCCTTAACGCTGTTGATTACTTTATTTTAGCTATGTTGTGATATAGTATTTTTCTTTTTGGTTTCTTACTTTACCACTCTCATAAACAAAGTAAGTGGCGCCCTTTTTCACTGTCTTTGACCATACCAATTTGAATTCTTAACATCAATATTAAAATCTCTGCAGCCTACATATTATCATTTTTTTATTTTTTAACAACATTAGAAAGTCACTGTGAGTCAGAAGCCTTACCTACGAACCCAGCTTTCCTCTAACCCTGATCAACGGATTCTTTTTTCATTCTATTTGGGTAACGACAGAAAAGTCGTCACAACTGGTTATAGTATTTTTAAATATCTAAGATAGTTTGTTAGAGCTTAGTTTACAAAAAGGTGGGCTATTCTAGTCCCAAATTGATTATTTGCGTAGATTTTTCGGCGGTAAGTGACGTTACGTATTTTTAGCTTTAACAGTGGTGTATCTAATTTAATTTGGATATTAGATATTACCCAAACCGGATTTATGAGAATAATATTATACCTATACAATTTTTATGGATTTCACATTTTGAATTTTTATGTAATATTACACGTACCCGGTATAAAAAATATTATACCGGATGGGCCTCGAAAGTGGCTCAACCCTATTATAACTCTTTTATTTTTTCAGATAAAAAAAGAGGTTTGGTATGTTAGTATATGACATAAATTAGGATTGATTGACGTGTTTAATTGTTTTTGGTCACTTCCAGTTTCACCGGAAATGACTACAACTTTTGATTTCTAAATAGCACCATCGGTATATTTCTACTTTATTAGATAGAAAATGACATTCTGAATAGAATGACATATCATATGTCAACTTTTGACACTTTTGCTTAAAAACAAATCGTATTTTAAATTTCAATCTAGAATAACATGGCTGTGTTAAAAACACTAATTTTTAATCAAGGGGCCTTGGAAAAATAAATTTGATCATCTAATGTTTTTCTTGTCTTGTCCTGGCCGGTTAAAAGATGCCCAAATCGATTTTTAATCATATCTCAATTTTTTCAAATGAAACAAGGGTGGCTCATTAGCATATTTGGAAAAAGCATTTTTTACAAATAATTTGGTACCACACACTTGGTATCTCGAGTCAAATTGTCATTATGAACATTATAACGTTACAATTTCAAATAAACCATATGCGAAAATGTCAAATGTTGACATGTGATATATCATTCTATTGTGTCATTTTCTATCGAATAACGTTAAAAAATACCGAGGGTGTCATTTAAAAATCAAAAGTTGTAGTCATTTCCGGTGAAACAGGAAGTGACCCCAAAAAATTGAATAGTCAATCAATCCTAATTTATGTCATACACTAACACACCAAACCTCGTTTTGTTATCCGAGAAAATAAAAAAGTTATAGGAGTAAGCCACTCGTGAGACGCATCCGGTATACGCTCAATTGTTAATACATGAATAACGAAAGTTCTTTCTGTCTAACACATTGACGTTTTCGACTAAGTATTGAAGATACAAGGTGACACTGAACCATAATTTATGGCGAAATGGATTATACTTACATTGAACAATGTAAGGCATAGGCATTCCTTGGTAAAAATTCGTGGGAAACATAAACCTTTGTCGTTCGAAATGCGTCGCCGCATCGCTGGCTGGAGTCGGAGATCTGCTGCTTTTGGCAGTGTTGGGTGTAGCGCCTCTTTCACTACTTAGCTGAAAAAAAAAACGTTTACATAAATTTTAATAATATAGTAATAATGCCAAGACTTAAATATAGGCCAACTTGGGTTTATATCAAATTGGGAAAAATCATGTAAAATATAATTCTAGTAAACCAATTTGATGTAGACCCAAGGGAATCGTTCACGTATACGTCGACCTAGACACGTTCTTATAGTAAACATTGTTACTTAAAACAATTAAAGTCAGATCGATGTAGCGTGATGTTTCAAGGCAAGCTCGTATTAAACATCGGTGCTGGAAATATACAAAGAAAACTTTTTTATGACGCACCCGCCGATGATTGGGACGAGCGGACAAATATAAAAGAGTATGCTGAAGACAGGGTCGAGGTTAGTCAGTTAGTCGAGGTTAGTCAGTCGGTTGGTTGCGAGTGAATCAGTAGAAGACAGAGAAGACAGAAGTTAACAAGTCAGACAAGATGCTGTTGTAAGTACTTCTTTGAGTCTTGAACCCTTAAGTCTTGGCATTTTCTAGAATTGTTATCTATTAACTTATTTGTTATGTATGTAGTTGTATATTTAGTAAATGCATATTTTTCCAATGGTTGTTTTGATTAAGAGAGAGAACCTGGTATAGCGATCCTAGCAAACAACCCCCCAACTAGGTCACGACATGTGGATATAATGTAATAATAACTCCTAATAATAGCTCCCGTATATAGCGTTTAACGCCTTGGGAGTAGCAAGGTACAGCTTGCTATACTAGAGCCGTTCGGTATACAAGGAAGGTAATGTGGCTAGCACTACGTTTCAACCGCCTATTATTACCTCAGGATTGTGAATCCCAAGTACTCATTTCAGGCTGAGTCGACCTAGGTACCCAAACTATTTTTATTTTAATAAAAATAGTCGGCTGATGAAATGCCGGGTGTAGGATTCGAACTCACCGGGCACCTTACATAAATTTTAAAAACGCTAAATAAAAGCTTCCCAAAAATCTACGAAATATATATATTTTTTTAAAGATTACGGTATATGCAATACCTGTCGAAAGATTCTGGGCGCGATCGGCATGCCAGGCTGGTGGAACACAAACTGCGGTGTAGGTGGCGTGCTGGGCGGCGGCGTTCGGTACTGCCCGGGTCCCATCGCCGATCCGGGGCAGTATCCGGCGATGACGGTTGCTGCAGGAGAATTCGTACCGGTACTGCTCTGACTAGAACCCATCATAAACGGCCTGGGCGGTTTCGATTGACTAGACATCTTGGTGACGGAACCGCGTGGTCTTTGATCAAATTGTGTACCTAGATAGATAGATAATGTCAACATGGTGTAAAAATGAGACATTCAAATAAAACTACTGAAAACTTATATTCAGTCAGTTTTCTTGTTAGGAACATTTAACAATAATTGTTAAGATACCATCCGCATAATTTTTTTTATCTTTGTGTGATGAATCATGGAAAAACAGAAATTATAAATCTATTATTTCTTTTTTAGGCTTAAAACTTTTGAAACTAACTACCAAACTTTTGTCGGGTGACATCAGTATGAAGTGGTAAGTGTTGACTCCAGTCGTCGCGTGCATAGGTTATAGGTTTAGAAAGGCATATCCGTTTAAATTTAGTCATGTTGGTACGAGAAACTAGTTTTTTGAAGAGGTAAATTTGAACCACACACACAGGTTTTAATGAGATAAAGGTAAGTCATAACTTCAATAATAAATAAATATAAACGATAGCGGGGCCTTTAAAGGTGCATTTTGTGTTGATCGGTATTTACATGTGTGGAAGTAAATCGCATAGGGATCTTATTAAGTCGCAGTGAGAGAAATGCGACGCTGTGTTGTTGCCGCGTTGCCACATTTCTACGGTACGTCCTTCCTTATCAAGTAAAGTAAAATGACGATCGCAACCCGCTTATTTTTAAAAGACTTTTTTTTCGAAAAGATAGCTAGATAAAATCATTAGATATGTTTCTGAGCATCTGAAATAGAATTATAAGGGTATCGTTAGGGTATCCATTTTTTATAACGAGAAAACGTCAGTAATCGCGATAATTTAAAATCTCAACTTTTTAACACATAACTCACGATAACTCAAGAATTCCTTTAGATATTAAAACATTCTTTTTTATTTTGTTAGTCTTTTTCTTTTCGAAGTTCGGATCTTTTACAAGATGTTTAAATAAGAAAAATTTGATATGCTTGTTTTTTTTTCATTCAAAAATTTTAAAAAAACCCATCTATTTACTTTTTTAGTGCACAGCAACAGTGTAAATTTTTTATTTATAAAGAATTTCACTGTCTGCGAAGAAAATATAGCAGACATATTAAGAACATTTTTCAAAACACTACAATCAATTATTTCTAATGGATTTTTGAATTCAGAGTTCTAATAGCGCGACCACTGTCGAACACCAATTCAATTCCACTTATTTTTTACCAAAAGTGCAAGTATTTCTAACTTGCACTTAAAAATGTACAAGCTATAGGGAAAATTACAACGAATCGTTAATAAATAAACAAATTAAGTATTACAAGACGTAATTAAATCGTGAAGCTGAACGCACGATGTATACCCTTCCCAAGGATACTATAGAGATAAGGATAGTTCGAATCCTATCTTCCTGTACTGTCAGTTTTTTCAGTTATCTACTGACCGAGTTGAAGTTGGCGCTAAAGATTTTAGACAGTGACAGTTATTTTTGCATTTGACGGACGAGCGCACAGTGCGTTGGAAGATAAATTTAGCGGGACAAAAGCGTTTGGTTAGAAATAAGCCAAAAAATGTGTACTGATAAGAATAAATAGTAGACATTCCAATTGATACAAAAATGCATGAATATTCTTTGTATTTCGATACATTTTTATCAACCAAATTTGGTCGTTTTCTGTTCAGCAAGGCAGAGATCATACGAAAACAAAATAGTTACAAGTGCTTATACATTTTATTAGAAGGCCAAATTATGTTGAAGATTGCCAAAGGTATGTACTTTTCTACTGTACATATATTATTTATTAAAATTCTTCGTGCCTTTGTTCTGCAGATATCAAACTTTCACTTTTTTTTCAAATATCAATATATTGAATGATGTAGATCTTTTGAGTTACCAATAGTTACCAACACAGGTAGTCACAGTCACATGGAGTTCAAGCTTAACAGGTGAATGCCCAAAAAGATTAATTTCAATCGGATAGTATAAAAACAAAACAACTCCATCAAAAGGCACTGAGTTTAAAAAATTGTCTTAGATACTTACTATATATGAATTTACAATTACCGAGTGTTAAAATTAAAATTAAAATATCTATCTTATTTATTATTTTCAAAATAAAATATATTTTTTTAAAATAAATTATAGAGGGTGTCACAAGATTACAAATTAATTAAAAAAAAACTGCTAAAGAGTTTTTTGATATCATAATGTTATGTATTTGGCAATAGTTTACAATACGGTTTTTGTGTGTCATGTACGAATAATATCATAGTTTTATTATCTTGTATTTATTTATTAATAAATTAAGTTGTTAATAAATAAATAAGTATAACCATATAGTTGCTATATATTAGACCATTTGCTACGTTCTTAGATTTTAAGTACCAAACATTGCTCTTGAGATTTTGTCCCGCTAGAATAACCATCCGCCGCACTGTGGAGCGCTGGTCAGCGCGTGACGTAGCATTCCACGGCGACTACGACAGCGGCGATTTGACGCGATCGAACAGTCCTTGTATCCTTCCATAGAATTTTATGTACTGATCGGGTTGACCGCGACGAATCTGCTATATCCCCGTCCACGTCTCTTAGCAATGCGCACAGTTTCTCGGTTTATTTCACGCGTTTGGCAACGTTTTTACTGTTCTCTCTTTGTTCAGTACATTATAAACGCACTGTAGCCTTCTTACATACGGAAATCGCGACCCAAAACTAACCTTTGCCAGCCCTTAATATATAACCCTAACCTCCGGTGTTTTCAGGTATAGATAGCGCGTTATAATTCGCCAGATATATTTTATTTGATGGATAGCAGAAAAAAGTGTATCTTCACCTATAGATACCAATATCTATTAGATAAAATAACCTTATCCGTCAGATATCCTATTTGGGATCTGAACTGCCAAATATCGCTTTATTTGTCGGATAAAAATTTGACACATGAGATTTTGATTTAATTTAATAAAATTGCTTAACATAACCTAAGACATTGTTACTATTGTAGATTTCGTTTATTTCAATAAATTCGATTTTAGATTATTTCGAAAAGACTTACCTATTCTGAGTATGTAAACTATAATCATTTTAGAACGTATGAGGTATAAACACTAATAAACACATTGAAATGGTGCAAAAAGCTATTGTTGTTAGTGCCGGACTTTATAATGAGTGTTGCAAAATAAAAGGAGCCTCTGTTAGAGCATCAGAACGAAGAGAATGCATTAAGTCAGGATAATAGTGATGAAATATGTACAATTACCGAGTAAAAATATAACTCAACGGCAATTTATAAATTATTTTACTTAAATCCCTTCAATTAAAAACCATTACGTACTTAATATAGCTCTAAAGTAGGTAAAAAATAAATAATTTTTTTTTTAAATCAAACTGTTTATTTCATTTTTAATTCGCATATCTTAATTCATTAATAATTACAACAGGAACTTAGAAAACCTGTTATTCAATTCACATTTGCTTTTATTTCTTTTGTGTTACAATTTTAATTTAATTTCTTGCACTTATGTACCTTATACTTTATACATCTCTTCTTCATGCTGTTTTTTAAGTAACTCTCTAGCTAAACCTTTTTAAAACACCTCCTTCGAATACCAGTTAGTCCAACTTTTTTACGGTTAAAAGGTTTATTAATATCAACTTTGTTTACACAATATTTTTCCTTTATTTTTTTCCTGTTTTTTTTGAAGTTCCATCACTTTGAGTTCTTAAAAATAAAAGTAATATGACAAAATTGTTTTATATTTATTATTTTTTATTAAAAAACTTGTGCATATGTGTTAATGTAACAATTATTATAGGTGCTCTTAATTTATTATTAATCAAGACAAAAGTATATCTAAAATCATCTATACATATATAAAATGCTAATGTTTATCTGTGTCGCCTCTACTGAAGTAACGACTTGTTCTAGAACGTTGCTTTTTACTAAAAGATAGCCAATTGGCTCTCTTTTTCATTTAATTAAAAAAAATATTAAAGTATTTTTTTTCCTGATGTCGCTGTCGTGGCGGATGCGCCAGGCTTCAACTAGTATACCAATAAATGAGGAGATAAAACTACAGTACTGGTCTTTGGGGTTATATATACTTATTCTCAATCGTGCTTTTCTAAAGAAAAATAATATAAGTACATTTATCTATTTTATAAAATTTACCTTAATTACTATCATCGATGCTATCCTACCTATTTCTTTACTATGAGAAGCCCTACAACAATACATATTTGTTATTACTAACAGCCTTATTCTATTTTTTTTACCAGATTGTGGTTTTAGGATTTATCTATAAATCTCGATCTGCTTGCACTTCACCAGTTTCTTCCATATTTTCTATTAGCAATTTATTGTACTAAAATGTTAATATAATAAATATAACAGTAATATCATATAATTAAATTATAAATTAAGTACTTACACATACTTTTTTTCTTGTTTTAATTTCTTATAAATCGCATTCCATCAACAGATCTATTTCACTACTGTTGAAACTGATTCCCTTTTTCCAGAAAGGTATAATTAATTACCCTATACCATAATAGAACTGGTCAGAGTTGAACACAAAATATATTTTAGTTGAATTTTATTGTTTTTATTTTCATTTTGACGATCTTTTGACAACTGAATAATAACCTCACTTTTTAATCTAACGATTTGAAATTACCGGTTTTTGTCTCTGTCTGTTGCATAGACTTTTTTTTTATATATATAACCATCTCAATTTCAGATATCTTATATTGGCAACACTTTCTCTACGGAGTGTCTAACGGTCCGTAGTCCTCCGAATTGTTATCTTTTGAATTATTTTGTATGAAAATACCCAAATGGTTATATCCTATAGATAGCAGGCTGTAGATTGTTTATCTTTTAGATGGTTATTTGTTAGATAAAAGCTATTTATCTATAACTGAAAACACCGAGCCTAAGGGTGGCTGCAACGACGTCCCGTCATCCTGCTGTTAAAACCTGACAGTTGGTTTTCATATATAAAAACCCATTGTTTTGTCTTAACCGCAGGATTACGGGACGTCGCGTCGTTGCGGTCACCCTAACCCCCGGTGTTTTCAGGTACGG